ATCTCAATAAAGATCGAAACGTTTGTCTAAAACCTACGTCACACCACACCGCATCTCACAATTTCCGAATAATAATTTTTATAATAGTATTATATTCTGACATTTTAAAAAATCTAATTCAAAAAATACATAAATAAAAAAACCAATAGTTTAAATTTTGGCGCAAACTCTTAAAATACTATTAAGACCAAAAAAAACTTCCTTTATTGTAAAATAAAATTTATAAAAAATCTAAAATGTATTACAATTATTTTCAACAATCCATATGAAAAATCGTATATATACCAAAATAATAGATTCCTAGATAAAAAATGTTTTAACAAAACCGCAAGCTTATGCACTAAAAATATCTCTTTTTTGAAAGATGGAGGAATAGCACCTATGTTATAAATGTAGTTTAAACAATCTAGGGGCAGTATGTAGAAACTCTGGAAGGGGGGCAAACTTGCAGAGATCTGTGATTTTGTCAGGACTGGGGCTTTCTTGCTTGCAGACAGTAGACCATTTGAACGATAGTCTCCTGGTGGTTCCTTTGTCTGTCAAGTAAATACTCCTAACGGTCATCCCTGGGATACACTCACCGGTATACCCATATAATAATGGATAATGTGTTGTTTTAGGTCGGTGTGATCAGAAAGACAAAATGCAAGTAGTATAAAGTTTTTTCCCGGTTATATTCGAGGTTTTATCGAATGATTAACTGACGACCTTAACCTAAACCGTTTCGACCGTCACCGGACTTATACCCGACATCTAATGTCTCGAGCATTGTTCCACCTGTCATGGACGAGCGAAATGACCTTATTAAATATTCAGAGCTTGTGGAAGCGTAATTGGTCACGAAGTCGACTCGTCTGTTTTACATTAATTAAAACATTAAATCCTCTTTCACGAAACCGGCCATTCATAGATGTTAATAAAGTTTTAAAAATCAAGTAATTGCTGGGTCGATTCGTAACTATTTCGCCTAAAACTGGGCAACTGGTTAATATTATCCATATAATTATTCTCAAAACGGGGTCTTGGATATTTAATTATGGAACTTTCGACCGAAGATCAGACGGTCATCATGACGTTCCAAGATTTCTGACAGATGTTCATGAGAAGTCATCCGATGATAATCATAAGGATCAGAATGCTCAGCTTGAAAAGTCCTCGCTAATGACTATGAATTAAAAAGAAAAAAAGAACTAAAATAGAACTGAAAGAAATGACTGAAGGGGTGAATCAAAGACAGACTTGTTTAAGTAATAAAGTGTGTAAATTTAAGTTTCTCAGCGTGTTTTTTTCCTGCTTTAAGAAATATTTTCGAATTTTGTCATCAATCTCCATTAGACTGAGTTATGAGAGATCTCTCTCTATAATATTAAACACGTTTTGGCGAAAGAGACAGAGATGGACCCACACGATTTTAATGATGTAGAAAGAGAAAAAGTAGGAAGAGTGAAGGCGCAACTTTTTAATACAATTTTTAATTTCTCTCACTATTTTCTTAGTTTAAACTTTAACCATTTCATACTGTACATCGTTCGAACGAGGAACTTCTTTTCTGCAAAATAAGCTTAATGTGAAATTGTAAACAGTTTTAACATTTATTTTAATTCGGAAGTTAGCTTCTTTATGTGTTTTTCAATTAATTAAGGTTTTTAGTTGAGATGAAAAAGTAATTGTCACGAGCTGGATTCGAACCCACGACCTTCAGCTAGATACGCCGCTACTCTACCACTTGAACAATCGTGACTTCGATCCACTCGGACAACTTCCCATCTCAACCCCACCTTTTGAATTTTCCCTTCCTTTTTGCCATTTTTCAACGAAGGTCGTGAGTTCGAATCCCGCTCGTGACACTGACTTTTTTATCTCAACTAAAAACCTTAATTAATTGAAAGATATTTATTGCTCAAGCGGACCTCGAAAACTAGTGAATTTATTCGTTTTGTTCGGATTAAAATTCTGAAAGATTTTCCGCGAGGACTTCATCTTTTTTTACATAGTGTTCAACAGCTATTTACGACCAATCGAATAAAAAAATCTCTAAAAACGGATTACAATTCTCGAAGTTACGGAAGTTTTTTTAATCATATTATCAGGCAACAGCGAGAGCAGCGGTATTGTGCGAAAAAAAGGGAAAATTTTATGTTCGAAATGTTGAGCGATGCTGCTTCAGTAATGATACCAAATAGATTGAGGCATTTCTATGTTTATGTAATAATGAGTGAAGAAGTAGATGCACATATGTTTTGGGAACACTTTAAAGACCAATTGAGCGAGCACTGTAATGAAGCTACTGCACTGTCCATAATTAGAGATCTGATTGAAAAGGAAGGAATGATAATGAAAAAATATGGCCATCCTGAAAAGATTGATGACTCGAAAATCTTGAAAGAAATTGCTGTCGACGAAGGTCTACAGAGTTACGATCATAAATTAACTTAGGAACAAATGTTATGGGGGCGTCGGTGACCGCAACTGTTTAGGCGTTGACACGGCGCTCATTACTGTAAGTTAAAGGTCCCGGGTTCGAATCCAGCGGCCCTGCATTCGAACCCGACATACTTACAAATTGGCCTTTTTACAACAAACACCGACACCCCGAGGGTTGATATAACCTCTGCTGTTACAAACCCTCGTAAAAAAATGTTATGCAAAAATGAATGCAGATCAGTCAAAAGTTTTCGATACCATTAAATTTGCCGTAACTGGACAAAAGTGTAGCTCTGAGAATATGTGCCTGATGCCTGTTTCATTTCTGCAGCCATTGCTTGGACAGGAATAGCGGCAGTTCTTCTCCCAACATGGACGGACAGGACATAAAACATTCGGGTTACTGTCAAATTTAGTTGAAGACCGCGTCACACTGAACTGGTCACTTGAATAGTGAACTGGTCAAATGAAACAGGCTCTCCAAGAAACATACATTTTCACCTGGGATGAAACGTCGATGTTTCCCCAAACTCTATTAGCCACTATCGATAGGTCATTGGGAAATATTTATACTGGGAGGTGACTTTCGCCCATCGTAAAAAAAGGAGGCAGGAGACGAATTTATGAAGCAATCAAATTATCCAAGAATATGTTTCAGGATGGAGATTCCATAGAATTCCTCACATTGATTATAAGATAACGGAAATAAAAACATATCGTAAAAAACGTAGAATACCCCAGGAGATGTTATGTAATAATTTAATTGAAGAATTTTTTCCATTAGATTTATCTGAGTAAGAAATGAGTGATAGAGCAGCAATGATGAAGTGGAAAAATCAATCATCTTGTTAAGAAATGACAACCAGGGGAAATTTTTTATGTGTGCTTCCATAGATCATGCGTCACTTGTTGATGACAAAGACGATACAAAAGTAAGTCTATAGTATCCCATTGAATATTTACAATCAATGAGACCTTCGGGTTTGCCTCCTGCAGAACTGCAGAATGTATAGTTATGCAATTGAGGAATTTATGCTTAAGAGACGGTTTGTATAACGGGACCCGTTTGATAGTAAAAAAATGATCGGACGTTAGTACACTGCGGACTATTAACTAGGAATAAAAAGGGAAAATATGGTGCACATTCCTCGAAAGGCCTGAGCCTTCGTTCTTTCCGATTTGTTGTTTATTAGTTCAGCCGATTCGGACTCTTCGTGAATTCATGTACCAGCGATAGACCGTCCTGTCGGCAGTCACCTCCAGTTAACCCATGGTTGAGTCCATCACCTACAGGATATCATCCTTCATGCTTGGTCCTTCTTACTTTTGCCTTCCACTTTCCCTAGTTTCTTCTCCAGGGCATCATCATTATGTTTGCCAAATTACTTCAATTTTGCCTTTAATGCTATTCTCTCAAGTGAGCTGGCATTACTTCCTGAAATAGGACTGCTTTGACCTTGCTAATTTCAATATTGTTTCCTAATCAGTACATCTTTAGAACATAGGATCGGTCGTTCACTACCAGCTGCTAACCTTCCTTTCGGCTTTGAGCTAGCTGCGTCATAACATGTGCGACTAGTTGAACTTATCCTCTGTTCATCCCCACAGTATTTTGACCACTTCTCCGACCTGGGAGTCCCAACTTCCGATGTGTACCGACCATGGTTGAACTGATCCAGTTAGTTTTCACGGCAAGAATACTGGGGTTGCCGTTACCTTCCACAGGGATCGTATTTAGCCTTCCCGTCTTGTCCGTGGTTTAGCTCATAAGTTCAATGAGGTGCTGAAGCTCCACGACAACTTTACGATCTCCTTTGCTGGACGGCTTCTTTCTTTTCCTAGCTAATAAAGAACAAAAGGCAATGTTTTTGTTTTTTTAAGTCAAAAGCTCTTCTATGCCCCTCTAGGAGAAGAAGGCAGGAAAATTCTTCCCCTAAGGTTTTCTTTTTTTCCTCTTAAGCTTCGTAAGCTTTGAGAATTAAAACAGACATTCTTTCAATTAAAAATAAAGCGATATTGTCGAGTAATTGCTTCCATTACCACTTGACATTTGAGGTTTGTTACATTTCTTTGATTCGTCGGGGCGTGGTGTCCTGACATACGATGCATGTCAAAGTTCCGTTTGTTAACAGTAGTAAAAAAATATAAAAATAAAAGATCCTACCAGGATATGATATATGTAATCGTTTGATCTAGGACGGATGATGTTCCTTTTTTTCCCCTATGTCATCTTCGAATGTTCTCTTTAATGTAACGGAATGATCTCTCTCCCTTTCAATCTTTCGTTTTGTAATTCAAAGTTACAAGCATTAAGAGGCTAATTATTCAGAGTGAACGAATTGAACAAATGAATAGTAAATTGTAGTTTGGTTTCCGATCATTTTGTACTACCTATCCTCCTTGTTTGTAAAACAATTTTTACATTAGTGCTTTTTGCTTTTTTTCGGGGGAGGGGGATGAGTAAAAATGTGGTGTGAATCGAACCCACGATCTCGCGGTCCTCAATGTAACTTAAATTATTTTTGCTCTGTTGATGGGTAGTTTCATTGTACTGATCTGAGTTTTTCATTTTGCAGGTAGCTGACATCAAGAGTGTAGTGCGAGGGACGCTTCAAATTACAATGGTAAAATTCTACGTGCGAGAAGGATATTCTGATCTGAGGATTTTTAAGTAACTGGAGCCAGTGAATTATCGAATCGGTGTGGTACGTTAACGGCCCGACTGTAAATATGGAAGAGGTGTTGGAAATCAAGCACAACCGGCAGCAGAGCCACGATTCGGGGACTTATCAGGACTGGCCCCACGAAGAACAGAAAGAGACTAATTACAATAGCAACGTGACCGGGGAATTCGTAACTGTCGTCGCCGTGGACACCAACGAGGTACCGGAGAAGCCTTTTGTGACGGTAGTTTCGATAGATTCCGCCGTCGGAATTGCAAACAACGCCGAGGAGGTCCTCGTCTACAGACTGCCGGGCGAGCGGCTCGGTTTCGGCCTCAAATTCGAAGGAGGACTGCAATCTTCTGAAAAAGTGAGCAGGTTGTTTATCCAGTCGTGTGCCGACGATAGCCCGGCGTCGAGGACCACCGCTTCCTGGGGTCCGATCACGCCGGGAGACGAGATCTTGGCCATCGACGGCGAATTGGTCACCGACATGACGAGGATGGATTGCGTCCGAGTTTTAAAAGAGTCTAACGTCGTGATAAAACTGATCATGTTACCGGGAAAGGAGAAACCCGAACCGCGTCCGAAGGAGGAGGAAGTCCAAGCGCCTCCGATACCGCCGAGGAAGTTCCCGAGGAAGAAAGACATGCCAGATCCGCCTCAAGGGTTCGACGATAAAAAGACCAGTCCGCCTATAATTCCGAGGTCCAGGTTCAACGTGCCACAGGCCGAAGTCTACACGGACTTGATATCCCAAGAACTCCCGCTTCCGACGGAATCCGAATCGGACGATACGGGGTCGAGCATTTCTACAGTCGTGAGCAGGCACTGCTGCACTCCGACCACGTCCAACTCCAGTTTTTCCGATGCCAGGTCTATAACATCCATGGACATACCTTCCCCTCCGTCCCCGACGGTCCAAAACACCCCGTTCGACCTGGACAAAGTGCTCGAACCGTTTCTCCAGTTGGAGCGGGAATTCTCCTCGACGACCATTTGCGGCAACAACATGTTCACGAACATGGTCAAAGTGATCGACCAGAAAGAAGAATCCACCCTCAAACCTCCGGAGAACTTCCAAGACGCCGACAAAGAGACACCTCCGGTCGTCGACGCCCCGGAACTCCCTCCTAAGCCGTCTCCGAGAGTGGAGATCGACAAGAAATTTTCCTCGGGGAAAAAGAGGCCACCTCCTCCGCCTCCACCTCCGAGAAACGATCGCCCAGTCTGCCCAGATCCTTACGGAGCGCAGAATTCCAGCCACCTCCCGCGTCTTATCGATTTCGTGCCGAAGGACCGCACGGACGTCGTCATCCCTTGCCCTCTTCACCCTTCAACCAGGTTAGTCTCTGACAATTACTCTTTCAAAACTGACTGTTTAAAATTTTCAATAAAGATGAGATGATGGATCGACGAACTACGTGGAAAAAGGATCTTCGGTGAGGTTACAACAGAACGACAATTCTTCGGTGATTTTATAAAAAGTTTAATTCATCGACAGCTGTGATATCCAAATTTACCTGAAAAAAGTAAGAAAAGAGGCATGTACTTCTTATATCTATGTTAGCCAAGATGCTGAGCTTCACCAAATTTAAATAATTTATTATAAATGCAGTTTTCCTCAAGACGAATGTTTAACACTCATCGATTTAGAGCCTGATGATGATGTAATCGTCGAAAGCTCGGCAAAAAACCGAAAGAATTGTCATTCTGTTGTGTCCTCACGGAAGTCCTTTTTCTACGTACTTTCAGTATACTTCTTCATTATTTACGGCGAGGATACACTTTGAACCTTCAGAAAACAATGTCTTTTCTCCATATCAAAGACAGAAAATTTGTTTTTCAAATGAATCCTAAAAGGAAATGTGATTTCTAGCAAGACACGTACATTGACAGTAGATTATCTCATTTAAAAAATGTAAATGATGAGCTTTTTGGTATAACCTAATCTAGATAGCCGTGTTATGGAGGAAAGTTAATTTTCAGTGTCATTTTTTGTATTTACGACACGTACGATCCGATAGGTATGAACGCTCTTTCGGTGTTTGCTGCATCTTCAGACCCTAATCCGGTGGATTATCCCTTTGATCCATTCTGGCGGTGTCGAGGGGAAACCGATCGGATCGAGTCTGCCGAGAATGCTCATAGAGAGCGGGTCTGCTCTCTCCTTAGATTCCTCCTGGAAATCATCGTCGATAAGGAAACTTACAGTTTTATTTTCTTCAAAAAGATCAGGTCCTTTCAAATGCACGTCCTCGCACAAAGGAAATCGCCTTTATGAAAATCCTGCAATAAAATTACTATACAATTTTCTTATCTGGTTTCTTTCGAGTAACCATGAGTCAGAACTTAATCGCTGAGTTGCACTTTGATTATTAATTGATTTCTCTATTCTGTTGGCATCATATTACAAGAATTCCAAATATTTTAACTTCATTATAGATAGATTTAAAGGTTATCAAAGATCGGCACAAAAGTGTACAGGTTGTAGAGAAAAAGTTTTTTAAGTTTTTATCACCCGTTCAGAAATACATCCCTCGTAAATACAGATTTTTTCCGTTAAATTAACCTTATTTAACTTCAAATGAATCAATTTTAAAAATTCCAATTAACCTTCCTTCAAAGCAATAAAAAAACTTAGGAGGAGGATATCTCGTTTTGTGTTCGTTGAGAGTGAATGTGTGTGTGGGTGAGAGGTGAGTCGATCCGCAATTAAATCAGTTTTGGCGTTTTCTGTCGAATTTGCCTTTTTTGTCATCAAATTCAAAAATTTTAATACCAAAAACCATATGGAAGTTAATTACCATCTAAATTAAAAATGATACATAAATACAAACTACGTATAAATAAAGATTTTTTTAAAAGAAATGTGACAAAAATGAGCCAAATTACTTAATATTTCGAAAAATCTCAAATGAAAAGAAAAATAATTTTGATTTATAGTTAATTTTATGCAATTTTTAGTTTTAATTAATTTTCGTATAATCACAAGAGCCGCATAAATTTATTTGTTTGTTCAAATGTCGGAATTTTGCTTTAAATGCTTACATTTCATACCTTTCCTACGTTCTTTTTGAAAGTTTAAATTTGACGGGAAAGAAGGTTAATTTGAAATGAAAAGGGTTGATTTTTAGTTAAAAAGGGTTAATTTGAAGTTACGGTTATTTTATGGAGTAAAAGCGTTAATTAGAAATTAAAAAAGGGTTAATTCGAAGTTAAAAACGGTTAATTTGACGAGGCACAAGGTTAATTTTAAATTAAAATGTGTTAATTTTTAGTTAAAAATGGTTAATTTTCGTTAAAAAAGGGTTAATTTTTAGTTTAAAAAAATATTAATTTTTAGTTTAAAAAAAGATTAATTTGAAGATAAAAACGGTCACTTTAAGGTGCAAAATGGCTAATTTAAAATGAACAAAAGTCAATTCGACGTTGAAAACGTTTAATTTGAAGTTAAAACCGTAAATTTCAGGGTTAAAAGAGTTAATTTGAAATTTTAGGTAAAAAGGGTTCATTTTTAGGGGTAAAATGGTAACATGAAAATGACTAACCGTAAGAAGTAGCGTATGCGTAATTTTTAGTTAAAAATGGTTAATATTTCTTTAAAAAAGGGTTCATTTTTAGTTAAAAAAAAAGTTAATTTGAAGATAAAAACGGTCAATTTAAGAGCTGAAAGAGTTAATTTGAAATTAAAAAAGTTAATTCGACGTTGAAACAGTTTAATTTGAAGTTATAACGGTTAATTTATAGAGTCAAAACGTTAATTTGATATAACAAAAGGTTGATTTGAAGTTAAAACGATTAATTTGACGAGGCAAAAGGTGAATTTTAAATTAAAAAATGTTAATTTTTAGTTAAAAATGGTTAATTTTTTCGTTAAAAATGGTTGATTTTTGTTTAAAAAAAGGTTAATTTGAAGATAAAAACGGTCAATTTAAGGGGTAAAATGGTTAATTTGAAATTAAAAAAGTTAATTCGACGTTGAAAACATTTAATTAGAAGTTAAAAGGTTAATTTATAGAGTCAAAACGTTAATTTGATATAACAAAAGGTTAATTTGAAGTTAAAACGGTTAATTTGACGAGGCAATAGGATAATTTTAAATTAAAATGCGTTAATCTTTAGTTAAAAATGGTTAGTTTTTCGTTAAAAAACGGTTAATTTTTAGGTTAAAAAAAGATTAATTTTAAGATAGAAACGGTCAATTTAAGGGGCAAAACTGATTAATTTGAAATTAAAAAAAGTCAATTCGACGTTGAAAACGTTTAATTTAAAGTTAAAACCGTAGATTTCAGGGTTAAAAGAGTTAATTTGAAATAAAAAAGGGTTAAGTTTTTATGTAAAAAGGGTTCATTTTTAGGGGTAAAATGGTAACATGAAAATGACTAACCACAAGAAGTAGTGTATGCCAAAACATATCCACGGTAATTAAATCGATTAGATTTCGTGGTCCGAGTGACCAAATAAATTCCTTTCAATTAATTAATGTTTAAGTAAGGTATTGGTTGAGATAAAAAAGTCAGTGGAACCATGGTAATACTTGAATTTTTAATTTCCTTGGGTAATAGATTCAGTGTCAGAATGAAATGAAGCATAAAAATATGCTAGATACACAAAGCGGGATGCAAGTCTTATTTTTCAATAAAGGGTATGTTATAATATGGGAAAACGCGATAAGCAATCATAATTCGATCCACTTGATCAATTTAAAAGAAGTGCGTCAATCTAAAGTTGAGATGAAACGTTATAAACAGCGTTTTACGTTAAGTAAATTACGTCCTGATCACGTTGATGCCCTTCGAAGAGCCGGGGTCGATTTGCCGAAGGAAATTCAAGGAAATTTTTCACAGTTTTCTAGCATAGTTCCGGAAGTGACGCGTTGAACAATTTAAAGGGCTCCGGAAACGTTAGTCAGGACTTTCTATTTTTAACGCCCATTAATTGCATTTAGGGTGTAGAGCCTGCCTTCGACTCGTGCCCGGCTCTAGATAAAACGGGCGGTCGTGAAATTCTTAATAGGATCTCGATACTTGTTATCTTCTTCGGTAACCTCGTATTTCGGTATAATTAACAATTCAAAGAATCAAATTATCCGATAAAATTGCTGTCCTAAATCGTTACAGGGAAAGATTGTCTACACTATTTCAATTTTGGCCATAAAGAGATCTTGGAAATATTTTAAACGTCCCCAACTCAAACACTAACCTTACAAAATACAACAACGCGCGCTGCGCACTCGCATATTTCTCTGCTTTACGGAAAACAATGAATCATGGATAGATAGGTTAAGTCCCGAACGCTAACCCTTTCCTAACATGTCCCTAACCCTAACCTAACCAACCCAACCTAATCCATTCCAGCCCAAACGCTAAACTAACAAAGTACAAAATAAAATGTGCGCTTCGCACTCGCATATTTTCTCGCTTTACGGTAATCTATGAATCATGGATAGATAGGATAAGTCCTGCACGCTAACCCTTTCCTAACATGTCTCTAACCCTAACCTAACCAACCCAACCTAATCCATTCCAGCCCAAACGCTAAACTAACAAAATACAAAATAAAATGCGCGCTTCGCACTCGCATATTTTCTCGCTTTACGGAAAACTATGAATCATGGATAGATAGGATAAGTCCTGCACGCTAACCCTTTCCTAACATGTCTCTAACCCTAACCTAACCAGCCCTTAACCTAATCCGTCCCAACCAAACGCTAAACTAACAAAATACTAAGTAAAACGTGCGCTTCGCACTCGCATATTTTCTCCGCTTTACGGAAAACATTGAATCATGGATCGATAGGTTAAGTCCGATTGCTAACCCTATCATGACAAACCCTTAACCTAATCCGTCCCAACTCCAACGCTAAACTAACAAAATAAAAAATAAAATCCGCGCTTCGCACTCCCATATTTTCTCTGCATTATGGAAAACATTGAATCCTGGATAGATAACCTAACTCGTCCCTAACTCTAACCCTAACTTTCCAAACCTGTCCCTATCTCTCATGTTAAGAATAACCGTACCTGACGTACCCTAATCCATCTCCATCCTAACAAAATACAAACTACAAGGCGCGCTTCGGACCCGCATATTTCCTCCACCTTATGGAATGTTTTGGAAGTTTTTAACCTAACCCGTCTCCAACCCTCACCCTAACGCCAACCGTAATTCTACCTAACCTAACATAACCTGTCCCCAACTTCAAACCTTATCTTAACTGTACCTACCCTACCCTTACCCGTCTCCACCCTCACCCTAATCCTTTACACTTTAAGTACTTAATTAAAAATAAGAATGTATAACGAATATATTTATTTTATTTTTTTATCGTTATTAATTTTTCTAAAAAAAAAATTAAAACAAACATCATTTACTTGTAGCCTGGCTCATACTTAATTATTACATACTAAGCATAAACTATAATGTTTATCATTTTTATGATTTTTTATTTATTTTGTTTTAGTAAGATAAATTTTAGTGATTATTTTTGTTATTACCAGTAATTAAATTCGTTTACCAATAACGTTCTATAATATAAGTTCTTACGTGCAATTAAACATAATTTCCCTTTAATTTAATTCCAAAACTCCTGTTGATCTAAGGACTTCTTGAGGAATGCTATAAGACTGGTTATAAAACTAATGGAATGGTATTTTAAAATTTCAAGGGTTTAAAATGTTCTTCTGGCGGTCTTACATCCTCATTTAATCCTAATAATCTGCCTTATAAATCTATAATTATATAATTTTAAAATATCTGTGTACATTTTGGTTCGATGCGGTTTTTAAGGGTTGGGGGTTGGATTTAGTCATAACATGGGTGTAAATTTTAATTGTTGTAGAAAATCTTAATATAAAGGCAAATTTCAACATATTCGAGCTTGTGAGAGACTTTGAACGCAGTCTAACTTCCGGATTTGTATTTCTTTTTCCAGATGCGATGCAACGGATAGCAAACAAGAGGCGACGAAAGATGCCGAAGCAGGGCAAGAAGAAGAGCCAACCGAGAAACGACCATCAGAAAGCGAATGTAAGTATGTTAGCGAAAAATTTCCCTGCCTAACAATAATTATCAACGGTAAAGACATTTTTCCATATGGACCGTTTCCATTCGGTGAGGGTTCGTCGGCAAACTGGTTGAAGAGGGGGCAGACAAAGTGTCTACAAGCCATATGGCCTGTCTGGCATGCCGGGCCACCCTTCGACTTCCAGTTATCGTCGTTAGCCCTAGGTGCACAGAAGCCTGCCACGGTCGAAAAGTTTTCCGTTTGGACATCCGAAAAAAATCGATTTTCCCCCTTTTTCGGGACATGTGCACATGTGCCAGATGTCGCCTAGTTGCCGACACGAAATAAGGTAAAACATGAAATCTGCTTACTATCGAACATAAAAAAAAAAAATGTTTTAAGAATAAGTAATATTATACCACGAGGTCTTTCTTGATTGCTGTTTATTTCCTCTAATTGGCCCAATTTGTAAACAATCAATCAAAGTGATCGATGTTTCTGTGGACATCTCGCATTTACATAAATTATTTACAATACATTTATATCAAATAAAATTTTTAATTATTATGGTTAAAAATAAAATATAATTACTTAAAAGAACCGATTAATCTTTACTAATATAGGGGCGACATGGTATTTCCCTTACAAAGCATGGATATTTAATTATTTCTTTGTAAAATGGACTTTATTTTATATAAAAATACAAATTTCATGTCCTCAAGTTGAAAGTTTTATTTTTAAGTGTATTCATCGAGTTTTGTATTAAGGTTGGAAAATGACTAAGTGTCCAGCCTATTTCTCGACATCATCACAAATTTGTTTAAAAAATGCCTAAAGTCTCAATCTCTGATAAACTTAAAAAAAAACTATTTTCCTATTATTAATTTTAATTCACAACGACTGGCCCAAAAAATGAACAGCGTAGACTCCGGACCTAACATAACTAAGCAATAGTAAAATTTCTTGTTTTTTAATGTATTTAAATACTTTTATGTTTTTACTTATCAGCCAGAGTAGGAACGATCATTAGGTTATGCTTTTTAAAGGGAGAGGATCAGAAATTCCAGGAATGATGGGAAGAATTGAACCCACGGCAGCGGGGGTCTGCAAGCCCCCCCCCCACTTAACTCAACAACTTATTTTTATTTATTAAACGAGCAGAGGATTTTTTTAAAAGATGGGGATTGTTCTGGAAACTCATGATTAACCAATCTATACTCACTTGAAAATCCTCAAGTCGTAACTGATAGGTGCTTTAGAGCTTTAGAGTTTGGGTCTGATCGACAGATAGGTAGAGGTAGATATCTCAGGGTTGCTCGGTCCTTTACTGCACTCAGTAACTGCTGAACATATGACACTGCCAATTTTATCCAACTACGACCGTGTTATAGCTCACCCTCCAGACTCACTATTTTTAATGACTGGGATGTTTGGTGGTCCTGATAAAGGCCGATGTCATTGGGTTAAGCCGTTGGTTGAAGTTCGTGGATTGAAGTCAGTGAGCCTGATGTAGCGGGAGTCTCGGTAGCGAACGAAATTGAGAAATTATTGCGGCTCAAGACCTTTTTATCATATGTACACTTGCAAATCTTTAAGTCCTACGTGGCAGGTTCTTAAGAGCACGGGCTAATCCAGGATGTCTACAGGTGAGATAGGTTAGCTATGTACCTCAGGATCCTTTGTTATTGTATTCAGTATATATTGTTGAACAGTTGATGATACTGCTATTCTACCTCCAACTCAACCACCGCTATAGCTCACCCTCCAGACACTATATTCCCTCGAAAAATTATTATAAAATGGTGAATCAAAATCAACAGTGCAAAATCACAAAACATAACCTTCACATGCATCACCCTGCCTCTAACCTGCTATAACCTCACTAATTCGGGAAGCACGGCGGTCTTTCTCGAGGTCGAACAGGCTTTCAATCATGTCAGGCACCTGGTTTGCTCTGGAAACTCAAATACATCCTATACTACACTCACTTCCTCATCCTACTACTTACCTGGCAAAGGCATAAGAGTATGGGTCAGATTCTCAGACATGTAGAGAATAGGTCCCAAAGCTTCCACGGTCTATTACTGTACTAAGAACAGTACGACTACACAATCACTACCTTCACCCTTACTCTACCCCCCAATGTATAACCTCTCACCCTTTCTATCGACAACGTCCTTTTCTTTGGGCTGTATCTAGACAGGCTAATGACCTCGAATTCACGACTTAAAAGAGTAAAGATAAAAGACTTCTAAGGTGACCTGGAGTATTCTCGGATAGGAGATAATCAACAGGTCTTAAACGGAAGGGATTGGGTGAGATGAAAGGGTAAAATGGACCTGTAGGGAATGAACAAGTTCAGAACGAAGGGATGAGGTCAGTGGGTGAGGTAACAGACGTAGTTGGGAGCTTAGATACGTCTAATGAGCTTTGAATAGAATGCTTCGATTAATTGGATATTGGATAGCTTCGTGGTACTCCACAATCCTGCTCCGCATGTAAAAATAGGGTCGATTGTTTTTTAGATTTGTTTGTTACAGTAAGGTAGCGTACGTTCAAGAATAAGAAAATTACGAATTATATCAGAAATATAACCTCCATCAACCTTAACCTACATAGTACAGTCAATACACCTACCCATTTATAATCACCACATGTCCGTCCGTCCGAGCTTTCGAGGGATGTTTCCCATCCATAGACAGTAAAAATTTAATTGATAATCAACAAGGTTGAAAATTATGAACTTTTGTTTAAAATATCGTAACCTAAGTTTTCAAGAAAACGAAATTACGAATTATATGAGAAATATAACATATACCTGGTTGTCCTATACAGTACAGCTAATATGCCTGCCCATTTATCCTACATTTATCGTACTTAGCAATAATAATCCTGGGGCGTCGGTGGCCGCAACGGTTTAGGCGTTGACACGGCGCTCGTCACTGTAATGTAAAGGTCTCGGGTTCGAATCCAGCGGCCCTGCATTCGAACCCGACATACTTACAAATGGGCTTTTTTTCAAAAACACCGGCATCCTGAGGGTTTATATGACCTCTGCTGTTGCAAATCCTCGTCAAAAAAAAAATTCCTAAATATACATACAAAATAATTAATAATTGTATAAAGATACAATACTAATTCTTACAAAAATTATATTAACTTAATTTGGTTACCTTAATATTCAGTTAGTTACAACAGCTTTTATCTCTATGTATATTTTTTCTTTTATATATATTGCAATAACTACGAGTATGAAGAATAAAACCTATTTATAATTCAAAACTTGTAAATGCTAGACGTTAGAACTTTAGCGAGCTTTGCTTCGGGTTCTAAACATGGTCGGATCCGTATTTACACTCGATTTGCACGAAGTCGTCGTCAGGACTTTCCCGCTGAGGTTCGCTTCGTACACAATGAGCTGGATTTCTTTATGATCCAAAGTCGCAAGCCAACTTCCGTTGCTGATACGTGCTTACTTTACTTTTTGCCCCAAGGGAGCATGTCTCTAAATGATTCGAAACGTCCGACTCGGCCGTGAGTTCAAGCTGAAACGCAGAATGTTCTTACTCTGATCGGTGAAAAGAAAACCGATCCAAGGTAGTTTTCCTTTTTCTTGTTTTTTTAAGTTTAAAACTGTTGTGACGCATTTCACAGAGGCAGATGACAAGTGTACTCGTTTACTGGACTCCCGGTGTTCTCATGTAAATTTTTTTTTCTCGATACAGATAAACCGATTTGGAAGAAAGAGAAGGAGACAGAAGAAGGACAATATAAGTGATATGTTAAATTTTTTACCCAACGCTAGTGCTTTGAGTAGGTTTTCGTCCTTGGGTGTTACGTTCCCCTCTAATGAAGCTCACACCAATAATTTCAATATGTTGGAATGATTAAATCTGACGGGGCTTTTCGGGGTTAATTGACGCATTTGTTATAATGATCCGGGGACCCGTGCTCAAAACTTGCAACATAGTCTTGTGGAATCCGAAGGGGGGGCACAATGCCACTTCGACATAGGCGGTCCAGAATAGCGATTGTAAATCAGGTGGCGACCGGATTGTATCGAATCAGGCTCAACGAGGTTCAGTTTCAGCCGGTTCCTCATGTAATACTTCGGTCCCGATAATTTAATGGAAAATGCCGATATTCATTTCATTTATTGAAGCCTACAGACTCTTCGAACTTGTATACAGACATCGACGTGTTGCGCTGATGTCCATCAAATTAGATTAAATATTATAACCCTCACTCAAAAAGTGTATTCTGCGTTCTTAACGAGTCACAGATGACGAACAAAAGGTTTAAAATTTGACCAAGACGAGATGGAGAATGGGGCTAGATCAGAAATTTCCGGACTGACTGTGGGACTCGAACACTCGACCCCGCCTACAAGAGTGTAATAAAAATGACGATCTATAACTAGGTTATTTATGAAATTTTGTTCTCCCTATGGATTGGTCAGACGCTTTTCAACATTTTATCATCTTCGTTAGCGATCAACCCGCAGTTTAACACGCAAAAACAGTGAGGTTAAGTGGACCCAAGATGATCGGATACATTTCACGACATTACATATATGTTACGTATACCAGTTCAGTTCATCAACTCGCACACCTCCAAAAGAAATCGTACAAATAAATTAAAAAGTTGGAAATTTAAATGGATTGGCCAAATAGAAAACAGATTTATAAGCAAAAAAATATTAAAAAACGCGCACTCGCATTTTTCATTCGCATGGATATATAACCCATCTCTAACTGTAACCCTAATTACCCTAACCTAGACAGTTCCCAGCACTAAACGTACACTAGCTAACATAACCTGTCCCTAAATTGAATCCTAACCTAACAAAACAGAAACAGAAACGTGTACTTCGTACTCGCATATTTATTTTTTCTGCTTCATGGAAAATATTGACTCACATATATGGAACCTAATCTATAGCTCTGCTTCCAATTTCGAAAGCAAAGAGAAAGAAAAACAAAAACATTTATCCTAACCCGTCCCCAACCCTAACCTAACACTT